ATATTCGTTTTAATTCAAAACGATTCCCGTAAACACTCCCAATTTAATATTTCCAATGGCAATAAACTCGGAAATACAATTCAAATAACGGAAATGATTTTTTTAATATTCATATAAACACTACTCTTACTCTACAAAAAAGTGTAATTTACTCCTTTTATAAATTTTTCTCTGTTCCAATGTGCATAAAAACGACAATAGCATAAGCGTTTTCTGGGAAATGCAAGCTACGTAAATCGATAAAAATTTGTTTCTCAACCCAATGTGACAATATATAAACTCTGATAAAAGAATAATTGTTAAAAGAATATTTTAACGAAAGTAGATTCGCCTACCAATTTATTGGGTATATAGCCACACAATGGACATTGCTTAAAATAATAATGTATTGTTAACCCGTGCTTATACTTATTGAGTTTAATAAGTATACTACATACTTAATTAAGTATCGCAAAATCTTTCTCTACTTCTCCTTGCAATGATCGAAGCAATACCCACATGTGCACCATATATTACCTAATCTTTCCCTTGCATTCTACAGTTTATACAATTCAATTATTTTTAAGCAATCACATTTTTAAACTAATGTATGTGCACACATAGACGAAAAAAGGATAGTATTATAGTTGGTAAGATAATAAATTGAAGAAATAAATCTCATGCAGTTACTGATTATTAATAAGAGAAGTAGAATTAGAAATGGGACGTACTTATTTGTTACATATTAAACAAATAATAATATTTATAATCAATGATTATTTTGGAGTTTTCAAACATATACTACAGGTATTATGTAGAATTTAATCGTACTCAACTGTTTAATTCCTATAACTTAACAGTACTTAAATCACAATAATTACTCATATCAGTAATAACAATACAACAACAACAACAACAATAATAATCTACATTGGTGAAGCATATCGTGCAATCACTTGTCACGGGTTTTATTTGAACAAAGGTTTCTACGAATTTCAATACACACATTTCAAAATAAAAAAACATGCACACACCTTTCCCGTTCCAATACTGTACAAAATTATAAAAAATTTGTTTACAAAAAAATAATGGGGAAAGACACTATTTTGGGACTTTGTCCGAGTTGTGCATACTATCAAAGTCCCACCCATGAAAGCGTGAACATCAATTTAGATAGAGAAAGATGGCGAGTGACATTAAGAGCCGATTTTTAATATGAATTGTTGGATTTCGTGGTTACACGTTAATAAGCAACGACAACGTACGGAGTTCAGAATAAGAGTAAGAAAATAATGAACCAATATTCTTCCCAGAAAGATGACGACTTGCACACCACGACATTACCCTTTATTCATGCAAATGATTGCTGCTCTCTCCTTTTTCACTCTCTTCCATGTCACTATTTCGTTGCAAGTTTGTGATTTACGAAGGTAAGTGACGCACGATAATATTTTTAAGATTAAAATGAAAAAAAAAAGGTTGCAAACACAATCCACCACCAATGTATTTAATTTTTCATTAATCATAATTTCAATAATAAAAAGTAGAGCATTTGATAGTAATTTTGCATGGATCGAAGAGCTAAAAACAAAATATCATTCGTTATTGTAATATAATACGCGTAAATGGTATTATTCTCTTTCTTAATCCAACAATATTAATATTTCATAAGTTTTTCGTTCTTCCATATTAGATGAATTACACGCAGTATAGAACACCGCTAAATATTAAAAATCCATATTATCCCTGCCACAATTAATAATACATAATTTTAGGAAAATAAACGACGATATCTGTAAGTCGTGGATCGCCGGCTTACGCTATCGACCTGCATTTCCTTCTCTCGGACTAGGGTGTTGCAAATAAAAGAAAAACTTCGTCATGGCTGATGAAGGGTACAAGGGGTGGCTCGGTGGATTTTAGCACAAGGGGCGTTACAGGGGTGCGCTCTGCGAGAATTGGGTGGGGGAGGGGGCGACGCATGCGCGCGACCATCAGGGTGATGAAAAGCGGCGGCATCGCCGCCGCCGCCGCCGCGGAGCACAACGACAAAGCCAACGACGAAAAGTTGAGAGGCGAGACAAGACTAAGCTAGCCTAGGCGAGACGACCATGCCCTTGAAAGCGTTTAAAGAGCAGACAAAATCCGAGGCTCCGGGCAATCGAGGCCGGCTTCTGCTTTTGCTCTGTCCCCTCCCTCAGCCGACTGTCGCCATCGCGGCAACGAGCCCCACTATTCGACAGATACGCACAAATTATTTCGAACTCGCGTGGTCTTGTCTTTTCGCCACTTTATGTACGTAAGATCAACTTGCGAACGCCTCATAATCGTGCTATACTTTCACGGTGCTCGAGCTCGGTGCTTGCAACCGAGACCGAGGCACTGATATAACGCGAAGTACCGCCGCTCCTTGTGCGAAAAGTTCCTATCGCCTGCTAAGATCGATTCGCTTTTATTCGCACTTAATTATTCACGCGTACATCCTTTTTCAACTGTAGTTTGTTTAGAAGATAACGTGTACCGTATATTGGAGGTAGATAGGCGGGAACAGATTGGGGCTGGCTCGCTTCCTCAAACTCATCAATACTACAATTCATTTATTCGCGTAAATGTCAATGGACTTTGGCCAATTAGTCAGATCGATAGGAATATGGGAAGATATGGACGAAGAAGATACCACTCGGCATTATGTGGCGGCATAAAGCTCGTTAAAAATTTGTTTGAAAATTTTGGAGAGATTAATGACGTTCGCCGCTTGCTAACCTCCAAGTGTAATATTCTATCGCCGCCGTTGGATGGAATAGGAGTTGAGCACGCCAGACGCGATACCACGAGTACCAATATTATTCCCCCTAGCATTATAAATAAATATATTATTGCTAGGGGGTTGCCGATAATCGGAGCATCGACGAATTTCCCTGTCTCTCGATGAGCTGCTTTGCTACTTCGGCGACTTATTTCCTGCGCTGTGCGGCGTAGTCGGGCATATGGCAAGGGGCTAGAGTTCCCAGAAAGTTCCCACGGTCAAAACTTTTACCGCCGCTACTGCGAAGAACTCGGCGAGCGACTGTATGGGGTGGGGGGAGTGAGTGAAAGAGAGAGAGAGAGAGAGAGAGAGAGAGTATAATGCAGACTCGACCAAAAGGGGGCTCACAAACACGGAACGGCAACTGGAGTCTCCCTTTCTACGCCCCTCCCAATCCCGTGTACTGTTCGTGGTGGACACGGCCGGCTAGCTGAGTCTATTTTTTTTTCCATTGGATGCCTTCTATCCATATCTATCTATCGCATTTCGATGAATTTTCCGCAAGGAGGCAAGAAAAGGGTGCGGCCCCCACATGGACTTTCCCTTGGTTCATTTTTTTATTTTTATTTAACATAAATAATCATAATTATTAACTAAACATTATTTTTCTTACTGTTCGGACTGCTACTGTGTACTAATTGCCGACCGTTATTAACAATACGAGGTAAATTTTTGCCAGAAAAATAAAAGATATACCACAATAAGGTATAAGAAAGATTAACTTCATATTTATGGGAGAATTAGTAGAATGAATAATTAAGTCATTGGACTTCGAAATCGATTGAGTACCGTTGGAGTAGAAGCTTTTCATGGAAATGGGCACGTTGCACAAACTTATTAGCTTCACATAAATAATAGAAAAAATCTTTAATATTTAATACAGAGAATGAAACTTAAAAGTGCGTATAAAAAAAAGTATTATTATACTATTAAAATGATTATTCGAAATTTCTAGTGAGACGGTATAAGGTCAATTTTTTAACGAAGTATGCTGAAATCGAATGAGACAGACATATATATACACAGATGGATGGATAGATAGATAGATAGATAGATAGATAGGTAGGTAGGTAGGTAGGTAGGTAGGTAGGTAGGTAGGTAGGTAGGTAGGTAGGTAGGTAGGTAGGTAGGTAGGTAGTCAAGGAGAGAGAAAGAGCGAAAATTGTTGGAGGCAGGGTAATCGACCGAAGGTCCACGGTGCGCGGGCGCAAAGAATATTCAACAATAATAAACAAACTAAACGCAAGAAAGGTTAAAAATAAGCGCTTAGGCAGGATTCATCCTATAATTAAATGACATTTCCGCACAGTTTTTTAAATGCATAATTGGTATTTTTACTCATTTTTAGATGCTTTCAAACAGTAGTAATATCTCATCGATTAATCATTAATAATCGTTCAACAAGACCGGACTACAAAAATTCCTCCAGAATATTAAAGCGTTTGTTTTTCCGAAGAATTTTTAGTTAGCGAGCGCGTGCTACCGAATTTCAATCACTGTAGTACGATCATCAATTTTTACGCACACACACACACACACGCGCGCGCAAATCCTCTATTTTCGCAGGACTTGAATAGGTACGCAACACATATGTATATCACCATCAACCGATACAATACATGCATAATTGGACGAAATACCCACACCCGAGAACATTTCACGGCGTTCCCGCCTAAAATCTCGAGAGTGCGCTCGTATCTGGCACTCTCCACCTCCACCTTTTCATCCTCATCGTCCGCTCGTTGGAATATCGCGGGATAAGAGTTAGAGAAAGAGAAGCCGCAAATTGAGGAAGAAAAATGGCAAAAACTGCGTAGAAAAGACTGCCGTCAGTCAGCCCTATTGGAGGAAGGTTTAAAAGAATCGAGCAATGACTCTTTATGTGAGTGTAATGCTTACAGTTGCCAGAAGAGGGGTAGGACAGAAGAAAAGATGTTGATAATAGCAAGCAACACCGACAATAATAAACAATGCTCGAGCCATAGGCACAAAAAAAAAATCGGCTTTACGCTACGCGCGCACATTTACGTATGTACCTACCTACCTATCCAACTAACTACCGACTTTATCTATCTATCTATCTACCTACTCATCCGCCCACACGGACGTAGGCATACACTAGCTCAAAGAAAGAAAGAAAGAAAGAGAATGAAAGGAGAGAGAGAGCACAACAAACAGTCAGCAGACATAAAATAAGAAAAAGAGAGGAACATACCGTGTCTGAGACAATCGGCGCGAGTGCTTCAGTCGTCCTGGCGGGTGCTCGCCACTTTCACACATAAATGTTGTTGTGCTCGAGGCACAGAGCTGCACATCGCCTCAACCGCGCCTTTTCGAGGACGCCACCGGCCTCGTCGGTAGTTGCTCCAGCAGCGCGTCTTATAAACTTCGGCAACGGCAACAGCAACGGCGACGACGACGACGACGACGACGACGACGACGACGACGACGACGACGAAAACGATAACGGCGACACCTTCCGCACCATCCACACCACGACGGAACTCCAAGCTCGCACCACCTCGTTTATCTTTCCCTTCGTCCCTCTCTCTTTCGTGCGCGTGCTCTCAGCAGAGCGACGGAGACAGCCTCTAGTAGCTCGTGTGCACGCGAGCAACCGAGGGTGGGAGAGAGGTGAGGAGGGAGAAAGCGAGAGCGCGGATGAGGGGAAAAGGCGCGCGATGGATAAAGCACACGCACGTAGAGAAGCAGCGGCCACGGGGAGAGAGCGCGCCGACCACCGACACACAGAGCCGCCAACTGAAAACGCCGACGAGGCCGACGACACTCGCGGCGCCCGCCCGAACAAAGCCCACGCACCGATTTCAAATCCGGGCTAACCCATTGGTCGGCCACGGTCACGTGGGCATTGCCGCCAGCGGTCATTGGTCGGAGCCCCCACCAGCGGCTTGAAGCCCTAAGTCGAGTGACGGACAGGGCAACGATGCTCGTTCCGCCCGATCTGTTTACATCGGCATTTTTATTTCTCCCAGCTTAAGGGTTCGGCCAACCGAGTGTCGAGTCCTGACCTCCCAAAATTCGCCATCCGGAGCTCGTGCTGCGACTCTTTTAAACCAAGGATCCGACTCTTACAATGCCTTCCTACCACCTTTCTTACCCCCACTTGATGGCTCCGAGCGGACGAGTCCAAGTTAGACGCGACAAGTCGAAGACCCATATCCGCGCCGATTCCATCATTATTTTGATGGGAAAGTCGTACGGTAAAGAGCATCCGATTTTTCTGGGCACTCTCGAACCATAAATTCCAATAAGGTCGATCCGAGTAAGGCTCTTTAGCTCTTTAGAGAGTTGCCGAGGTCGGAGTAGGAGAGGAGCGATCTGGAAGACGGGCGAGTCCATATTCTATAAGGGAGGACGAGGGGGAGCCGTACGCTCGTTTGAATGAACCGCGGCGCTCCGGACGACATACACCGCTCCTTTCCTTTCTTACCCTTCGCCGCTGCAACAATGGCGGGAAGGCGCGCGCACTCGTGGAAGCCACGTGTATGCCAGTAGCAGTAGACGAAGAGAAAATGTCGAGGTAAACCTCTGACGACGAGCAAGACCGAGCGTAAATATTTGCGCCAAATTTCCTGATGTATTTCAGCATGTGCTGGACTTCATTCATAATCCAAATTCTGTAGTTCAATGGAGTCAAGAAAACTTTTCCATCTTTTCATTTCATGTATATATTTTCTTTATATGAATATGTGTGCATACATATATATATATATATATATATATATAAATATATATATATATATATATACACACACATATATATATATTTATGTACATTTTTTTCTATCTTAATTCACAATTTCAATGATAATAATTATTTTCAAACTGACATCTTCAACACATTACTTTAATAATAACTTTATTTATCTATAAATTGTCATTCTTATCTATTTTCATTACTTTATAAATGATGTGCTAAAATCACATTATTTAACAAAATATCTTCTTTGGCATGTTTGCAATATTTTCAAAGAGGATGTAACGCAATCACTAAACATCAGAATCACAGAATTAAAAAACTTGCATTAAACTTTTTATAACTTGTAACAATAATTATTTTTTTTTTACCACTAATTTATAAACTGAAAATAATTTCTTATATAATGTATACTTTCATCATTTTCTGTATATATCTAAATATTTGAAAACTCATATTTTCAGATTCTGCTGCAAAAATTACTTGGTATGTATAAAAATATCACAATTTCATTTTACACTTTAACAAACACTTCTTCAGTATGTACAAGCGTTATTCTTTCATTGCTTTTTCATTTTTAGTACATAAGCTATTTAGAAAAATATTGCACTTCATTTGTAATTATGCTTATTAATATTTTATAAAACTTCTAAAATATAAAACTTATTTTTATAATAGTTGGTCTCGTGTTGTATATAAAACTTGAATCCTTTAATATTCTATTTTAAATAACGATAAAATCTAAACACTAGCTACTGAAGCAATAATATCCATATATATTTCAATTCCACGAAGAAACACATCCTTGTTTAAATATTCATCATGATCATGAAGCAATATTTTTGTGTTATTTATTGGTGAAAAACCAATGGCTGGAATTCCAAGCTGTAAAAAAATCATTTATTATTTCAATGAAATATTATTAATAAATATAAATAGGGTAGAGTACTTTATAATTACTTAATATAAATTAAATAATTTTTTTAACAATCTGGTATAAGAATATTTCACAATGTCTATGTAAGTAAAATATATTTTATCTGATAAAATAGTTTTATCAATTAATTAAATAATTAATAGTATATTCTAATGTTTAATCTATTTTAAAAGTATTTAATTTTACAAATAAATTTATCACAAAAAATGAAATACTCTCTGAGTGATACAGAATAGTAAAATCTTATTAATAATAGAATTATATAATCCAATACATTTATTAATTTTTTTAATGTACCTACAATCTATCAATGCAATTACATTAGTTATGAATTTATCAAGGAAAAATAATAGTATTAAAATAATGAAAATAAATTATTTTCTTACGTCTCTTATGAAGCGACTGTCAGTTCCTCCTGGGAAAATACCAATTTCGAGGTTGATATTTTGTTTATCGCATGACTTTTTCATGGCTAACCAAAATGGATTAGTTTCGTCTAGTTTAGTAACTTCAACAAACTTTTCTTTTTGAATAAATTTAATATATATTCCTTCACCTGCTTCCTCACACCACTTATTCAACATGTCTTCAAAAGTTTTATGATCAGTATTAGTGTCTATGCGGATATCAAAAACTACGAAGAGTGAACTTGGAATGACATTATTTTGTACACCACCCTGAAATATAAAAGAAAATATTATTTATTTATTAAAAATCTACACTAACAATCACTTACTATACACATTGATTTTTAACAAGATTATTGAAAAACATAATTATTAAATATACTTACACATTTTAATCCTTTAATATCAGACATGTAAATATAAACAGAATATGTTAAAAGCTAAGTAATATAATGAATAGAAAATGATTTCTATAAATTATATTATAGATCTATTATAGATTTTAATTAATCACCATAAAAATGAAGGTTGAAATTATTTATAAAGATTTTTATTGCCATGAAAAAATCTTTATTCATAATTAAAATATTTATTCAAACAAAAAACAAAATAAAAAAGTAAATTTTGTATAAACTAATAGAAATATTAAAATAAATGTTTATAATTTATCTTATCACTTAAAAATACAAATATTCTTATGATAATTTGTACTTTGACTGCACAAAAAATTTAATGTCTCATGAACAGCTATTTACATTAATATATTTATTTTAAATAGTAAAATTGAAAAGTATATTTATTCCATAAATATTATTATAAACATGAAATTACCAGATCATTAAATTTATCTTATTTATTTTTAAACTTTTTTTCAAACGTTATGAGAATTAACAATTACTAAACATTATATGTTATTAATGACTGTATATTAATTTATCTGCTAATGAATGGTTATAACATAAGATTGGTAAATAATTTGGTATAGCATGTATAATGCAAATTAATTATGTAAGCTAAACAAATTGTAGTGTATTTATTTTATTCTAATATACTATAATTCATTTTATAATCAATTTCAATACAACAATAGTTAAAATATTGTCAAAAAAAGAAATTTGCCTCATCTATTGTAAACCACTTTTTCAGAATAATATATAATGTAAACATTTATAATAGAAAAATAATATTTGCAAATGTTTCAGTCGTTTTCTTTATTGTATCTAAACTGAAAAGTTTAAATATCTCTTCTTATTAATAATAGAATAAATTTTAATATTTCCAAGATAACAAGTTATGAATATTATTTTAAGTATTATATAATATATTATGAATAAAATAACATTTTTAATATAAACATTCAATAAACTCTAATAATTTTATTACTAATAATCTGTAATTTAATTAATTGTAAATAAATAGAAAAACCAATAATACTTATATTAATATAATTAAAAGATACATACTGCAATTTGTGTTAGATTAACCGAAGTAACATCTCCTATCTGTTTGTTCGGATTAGAAAGTTTAGCTTTTTGTTCTGCTCTAAAGTCCATAAATTTGTCGATAATAACTCGCAATTTTTCACCTGGAGTATTATCTAATAATAAAGATGCATGACCTGCATTTCCAGGACAATGGACTTCAATTTGCCAAATAGACCTTTCACCATGAAATAAATAATAATTATTTGTTGGACTGGTAACACCCTCGTCTAAGGTAAAACCAATGTTCAAATTTTTAAAATCATTTGTCTTAACAAAATCTCTCATTCCATTTATTCCTCCGACTTCTTCTTCAGGTACAAAAGTAATATGAATTGTTCTTTTTAATTTTTGTCCATTTAATTTCATCCGACGAATAGCCTCTAAATATTGAATTCCAACACATTTCATATCTTGACTTCCCCGAGCATAAATATTTCCTTTATCATCCATTTCGGCTCCAAATGGATCATGGGTCCAATATTCCTATAAAATTTAATTACTTTAATTACACACAATTTTTATATTAGAAAATAACTAAACAAGTTTCTTCAATTGTTAAAATGAAAATGAATTATTAATAAAGTAATTGCAAGAGAACACATTTGTTTAATATGGAAGATGAATATAATTTCATAAAATTATTACATTATAAATAAGATTAAATAATATCAATTAATGGTGCAATACTTCAGAATATGGATAGATTTCTATTAGATTTCACAATGACATTACAACAATCAATTGATATTGATGAAAAATTTATATATAATTATAATAAAAAAAAAAAAAGAAAATATTGAACAAAAATTATTAAAATGATTTAGAAAATAGAAAATTGAAAAAATAAAATACTTGAATGTATCTTCAAAAATCGAAATTATAAATTACTGATATAATTGCATATTACAATATTATACATCCAGTACAGATGCAATTATCTCTCTATAAATGTCTTGAATAAAATAAATTATCCATTACCAATTAATTTAGATATCGATTGTTAATTTGAAAATTCCATATCATTTTATAAAAATAATATTTTAAATAACAATATGATTAATTACTTTACAAGTATTAACATATAAATAAAATGCAGGTAATAAAAATTGAAGTATAAATAGTTGAAAGATTTACTGAATGTTTCTGCAATATTTAAATAAGTAATAAATATAATTTTAGTTTATTATATCAAATAAATGTAAAAACTTACGGGAAAAACTGGAACAACATCCATATGACTGTTGAGGCAAATCGATGGCAAAGACGAGTCAGTTCCGATCCATGTTATAACAATAATAGGATTTTTGCATGTAGAACCGCCACTCATATAGTAAACTGTTATGGGCAACTCCAGAGAATTGGCACACTTTTTAAGAAACTTCTCACAGTCACCTATAAATTACAATTTTTACATCAAAATAATTACTTCTTTATATATTGATTATTACGGATTATTTAAATAACATGTTTTAAGGATTCAAATGAATATTATTCATATGTACATCTAACTAGTATTAAAATTAAAATCCAAATATTTTAAAGAATATTAGAATATTTTTCTTCTTTTAATTAAGATATTATAATAGTATAAAAAATGTTGTATAATCATGAGAGTTATTTATATTTTTTTATACCACAGAGTTTCAATAAGCCATTTTATTTTACAAAAATAATATTTAATTGATTTAATGTTTTATAATTGATTATTTTTAATAATGAATAATAATAATATATACTTCATTTGATATCTAAATTGGCTACTAAAAATAATCGCTATCCTTTTCAAATTAATTTTATAATAAACACGTTATAATAATTATAAAAACGATTGCCTAGTATTATATTTGAAAATTCTTATCATGTGACAGTAATTAGAAAAGGGGTAATGTATCATTGTTATTTTTAAAAATTTTTTATTATGATGTTATTAACTTAAAAAAATTTAGTTATAAAAATTTCATAAATAATTTTATTGTATATTGAAACTTGTCAATATTAAAAATGAAACTAATATAAAATAAGAAAAATAGTGATTATTTTGTCATAGGTATGATAGTAAAAATGTAAGATTCAATATAAAACGATACAAAAAAAATTCTAGCATTATTCCTGCCGATTGCGAGCAGTTAGAATTGATAATCTACACAGTCAATAAATTTCGCGAGTTAGCGAAAAATAAGAGGTATGGGTTATTTGAATGATTTATTTAGATTAGAAGAAGTAAATCGAAGAGAATCTCATAATATTTTAGGACTTCATTAATATTAAGATACATTCAAATATTATACATAATAAATAATATATATTATGTATACATACACAATTATAAAACGGATACAATTTTTACAAACTTGCCAGGCACAATTTTTAGAATAAGATTTTTAGATTGAATAATTCGTTGTACACATACCTAGCAAGTTTGACGGTTAACTTTATGCAATTTACAGTTTTTGAGAATCGCTTTTTAGAGTATTGAGGTCGTTATATAAATAATTTTATAATTTATGAATATAGCAAATTCAAGGTCTATAAATAATCTATTATTGATACAATTGAGTTTAAATATAATATTTTTATTCTATATAACAATTATATTAAAATATAAAAAAGTTATGTTATAATATTTTAAGCTCTTACAGTTAGCAAGATTTATCAACAACATACAAAATATATTTGAAAAAAAAAAATTATTTTTATACACAATAATAGAGTCTGTATTGTTCAAATAAATACATAAATAAATAATAGAGTCTGTACTGTTTTTCCAAATAAATAGTATTAAAATTAAGTATTTTGTAAAATTCATTGTGTTCGAATATTCTGCAAACTTAGTAATCATCTACATTATATTCAACAGTAATCTATAATTTCAATATTTTTGTGCTTTAAATATTAATGTTAAGATATCGATTCAGTAATAAAATCTCAAAATAAAATTTACTTCTTAATATTGAAATTATTATAATTTACGTACAAATAATGAGAATACTGGGCATTTACCTTATATAATAATGTCAAAACCTTATCAACATTTTAATTTTTAATAAAAAGTAATATTCCACTCATAATTTAACAAAGCTAGTTAGTTAATACAATTGAATATCGGTAAAACATCTGTTAATGTCAAAATTTAATTTTAAATTTAGCCCCCTTTTTTATCTACACTTGTATTTTATAAAATAAAATCTATGTATTTCGAATGTATATTCTTTATATTGGCAATTTTTTCATTAAATTAAAACTATTTTATTTAAATAGTTTGAATCGTATTTTCATAAAATTCAATGTAAATGTATTGTAAATTCGAGCTACGTATATTGGATATTATATCAGTTCAATTTTTGTTAAATAATATATTTTTTTTAAGAAAAAAGATGTTCTATTTTGTAATGTAAAAGAAAAGATAGCTTTTTAAGATCTAAGTAAAGTTTTTACTAAGGTCTCATGTGCTCAGAACTTTAACTTGACAAATTAAAATTTTTATCATCCAGTATTTAAGCTTGTAATTGTGAGCATTTAAATAAAACATTATTTATAATTTTTCATTTTCATAATGAAAAATAAATACTAGAATACGCGTAAGGAGTTATGATATTTTCATGAACTAATCAATAAATAACTAGAATAAACGTAAATTAAAATCGGATAATGTTATTAAATCAAAAAGGTTTTAAAAACATGTTTCACGATTTTAAAGCGTAAAAATTGAGAGTATACACCATATTTATAATATAATATTACTTTCCATATCAAACATTTAAGTGAAAATTAAATTTCTATAAAAAAAAAACAAACAAACAAACAGATATGCTAATTTTAAATTAACAATCGAAAATGACTTACGTCTTATTCAATCCAAATAAAAAATTATTAAAAAATTACAGGTAATATGACATGCATAAATGTACTTTTATATTGTATATAATTTTCTACGAAATGCGCGCAATTGTCATTTGGATAGTCTTGCTATCAAATGACGTTAAATCCGAATAAATATAAGAAGGGTCAGCGGAATCGCAACAGTTATATCCACATAACTATATGTTATATACATACTCGACATGTTTTCAAATGTTATTGACTAGACACAAGTTAGGAAATAAGATATTTAGGTACGTAGAACCTATGGGCCTTATTAAAAGATAGTACTAATTAAAAAATAATTCATTAAAAATATTATAAAAATTATTATTTAAATAAAAATGTGATTTAATTAGTTACAATTGAAATTTAGATCATTTACAAAGGTTTATTTTCTTCTATTCTATTCATCAAAAACAGAATCTTAGTTAATAAATGGGTTATTAAAAATGAATATCTCAAGACTAATATAATCTTATAAACGCTATTATGAAAATATTTATAATATTGTTGTTTTACTCAAGATTAATTACAATTTTATAATACTTATAAAGCTTGTATGGACGTTATTACGAAAATTGGAATGTTTATTTTAATGTGAATGCCAAATTTACGTTAGATTAAACGTTTGTATAAGTTTTTTTATTTTTTGATTCAAGATTTTAAAAATGAATTTCTAGATTTAATTTCAACATAAAAATAGTTTATGCAATGTTTATATTAGAGTAAATGTTGATTCAAGGAACTCTGGGCATAATTGGAAAAATATGGGTGGATAAACAAGAGTAAATATACTTTTACTTTGAACCGAATCATTAATTACCAATTAAAATTTTGTAATACAGTGAGGTAGGCGGATAAAGATTTTATAAGCGTTAAGGACAAAATGGATGATGTATTTATGATGATGTCTGTTTATTATTTTGAATTATCAGCAATAATTTTATAATGGATTATATAAAATATTTACACATATGTGAACGCGCCCGGGCGCGCGCGCGCTCGTGAGTATGTAACAATACAATATACGAATCTACTCCATATATCATAGGGATTACGAATTGACAAGTGATTAATTTAAAAAACATAATTTATCCGACGCTGGAAATCATTTGTTCTTTGAAAGCAAAATATTATACCTTTGTACGTAATTTTAAGCAAATAAATAAAAAAAATTATTTCTTACTTGTTTGTTTCGGTACAATTTTTTTTTTTTTATATATAAATTTGTTTATAAAGTTTCACGGAAGTCCATAATCGTCAACTCGGTATTTTAGATAAATGAAATTATTTATGAAATTAGAGTCGCTTATCGTCGCACGGTCGATACAACATTTCTTAATGTTAAGCTTCTTACCGTACATCCCTTTAATAATAGCTCACGTTTATTTAACAATTTTCTTTTTTCTTGGCTAATAAGCGCTGTAACGTCGCATCGATGCGATAACGCTCTCCTCTCTTTCACTCAACCGCTCACTCTCCCAGACACACACACACACCCACACCCACACACACCCACACACACACACTCTCTCTCTCTCTCTCTCTCTCTCTCTCTCTACCTCGCACACAGCACGCTCGCATCACACGCACGCATGCACGCACGCATGCACGCACGCACGCACGCACTCCTCGACCCACCTCCCTCGCACGACATCACCATCTATTTCTTTCTTATCGACGCGAATTGAGCGATCAAAGGGTGGAGGACGCGAGCGATCAGCAGCGCTGAACGCGCACGTGAATGAGTAATAATCGCTCCCATTCTTCGGCCATACCTTCATTGGGACTTTGAACGGCGAGAGAAGGCCCGTCAGGAAGTCGAGAGGATTCGGCTGTTGCTGAGTTCTATATGAAACAACTATAAAGAAACTCGGCTGGAAGATTGGCCGATTACAAATTAGCTTATTGAGGGGGCATTGGCCAACTCCAGTATTAAAGTGACTGAGAAGTAGAGCGTGTTACTCGTCAACTATTAATCCGGTCCGAAGATACCAGAGCCTCTTTGGTCCACCTCTTTTTACTTTTTTTTTCTTTTTCCTTCTTTTTCATTTTTTTTTTCGTTTTTTTTTTTTGTAGGGCAGAAAAGATTCATTACCCTAAGCTCGCGTCCCCATTATCCGCC